TATTTCTCATCTTACACGCCTCTCTTTAGTAAGAAAGTGTTATTTCAAAAATATAACAATACTCTTCCGCCAACCTATGTTTATGTAAAGACTCTGAAAACTTTATTGCGGTTCAGTGCAGTTAACGCAAAGAATCACAGAAGCCACATGATCTTGGACACACTTTCTTCTTGGTAGCCTCCGATAGTGTACCCTTGCAGAAACCACTCGGTACAAGAGAGAGGCAACTGAAAGCATCTTCTGGTAATTTTTGACGGGGAACCAGCGATACGGGAACGTCTTACGAATGGTTGTCCTCGCATTTAGAGTCGGTTTGTATGTTTATGAACGGAACAGGTCGTTTGTTGTTGTCGTAGTTGTAGTAGTAGTGGTGGTAGAAGTCGTAGGTCTTGGTGAATTTGCAGGAACTAGATGCTTTAGGTTGATCTTAGTTATTTCAAGACAAGAAATAATAAAGCAGTACCGTGTCGGTATTCAAGCACTGTCGTCGTTTTGACAATCCTGTTATATGTCATTATTGGGACACGGTTTATGTAAGAACGAAGAATTGTTCCAGCCGCGTCAGGTGAGCAGAATCTGCAATTCACTGCGCCTTTCAGGGCTTCCGCATGACATGGTTTTGTGAATTTGATTCTTGTTCTGTGAAAGACTGCCAAACAGTCATTCCGATCGAATTCTTCCTCTTCATTCGAGTCGACCTTCTCACTCTCTTAATTTATACTAACAACATACCTGTAACCAGTGAGCGTTTGGTCCTCATTGGTCTTGATCTCTACACCTGCGTAACTGCATCCGTCAACAGAAAGACCTTTTGTGAAATTCACAAGTCTCACTTCGATTTCGGTTCCGTTAGGAGACTGCAAAATACGAGCCAGTCATAATTAGTGGCCTGATGAGTTTGTCATCACTGGACACTCAGAGATAAGTCATCAGAAATCGCTCCTTTCATTTAGCCCATGCTAATCAAAAGTTACGGTGAGCATGCCATTTGAGTATTGACCTGCTTGTTTGCGGACGTAAGACTTACTTCAATCCAGTAGTGACATGTCTCAAAGTCTTCTTGCTCGTCACGGCCAAGGCCAACAGTATTCTCGAAGTGTCGTCCAATTAGGCGAAGCTTTAATTGTATCGCCGCACCCTGTTGATGGCTAAAGTAAACGCTTTCGGCACCAATTCCTTTATGACGAGTATATCTAATTCCTTCCTCACTCTCTCAGTGCATCGGGGTCCAGCGTAACCACCAGGACAGATGCATTTCTGGCAGTCTCGTGGGTGAGGAAATCCGCCCATCTCGCATTTGACGGATGTGGCTTTGTTGCAGTTTTCTGAACTTTGTAACAGAAAGCGCTATAAGAAGAGCGGAACTTGTTTCAGTTGTTAGCCATTTGTCAGCATGTTCAGGATGGTGGAGGTAGGGTGGCAATGAGTGGCGCTGCTTACCGAACATACTTCTGTTCACCAATTCCCGCATATTGAAATCACCTTTGTTATTAGGGTCTTTTACAACATGGGCATTGGTACTAAACTTGTCTGGGAAGTTAACAAGAAATGAGTTACATCGGCTGGCCTTGTCCCACGTTGCACAGGACATCTCAGAAGCCACCTAAATGCCACTATAACTTTGAAGAAGAGCAGAATGAGTGGTGTATGCCGAAAAGGTAAGAGTTACCGCTAAAAATTCTAGTCCTTGCCTTTTTTTGCGGACCAACAAGCACTGAATGGAATTTTTTTGAGAGAATTCCACCCGCTAAGGATCAGCATCTGCGAACGCGATATCTGTGAAAAGGTGTTTTGAAGCTGGCTGTCAAACCTTTGCATCCATAGTGTTCATTGAGCATTGAAAGTTCGATGAATGAAATGAATGGAGACCCAAGCGTTTGCTGATAATCGACATCGAACGGAACCATTGTTGGCTTTTTGTTGAACGATGCACTAAACAACAGTGAAGTCGTCATCTAGCTATGATTCTCAACATTGCATATGAGATACCAGAGAGAGAGATTTTGACTTTGTTTCAAAAATTGTGGCTATGAACAGTGCCATCACTGAAGGACCGCAACCATGCGAAAGTTGGGGTTTCATTTTTTTCCAAACCTACCTAGTTCCGCCGTAGTGCATAATGCTGCCGTAGTCGTATGTCATGTTGTAATTGTCGTTGGTTTTCGTTGTTTCTTTATTGAATTGACTTAGCCAGTCTACCTGAAAGTACCACTCTCCACCATTTCGAGTATTCTTTATTTCTCTTCAATAACGACCGATTGATTTATTTTTTGAAGACTATCACGTAGATTGCCAAAAGTTGTGGTAAGGCGGATTCGTGAGCCTCCCTCATCCTCTAATCGATTTCTGTCATTAGTCAAACTCTTGAGGCAATGTACAGAAGCTTAGAAACACATGAAGCTTTCAGTGTTTTCAAAATTTGCTTCAGATCCTACTGCACCAATATGCTTTTCCCCCACAACGCGTTAAGCTAACCTTCTTCAGCTTGGGAAAATGCAAATTCACCATGCTACTCCAGCCGGCACATTTCGATATAGTGGAAATTTTGTTGCACGCCCTTGCATTTAAGAGCGGGTACTAGCATAAGCGCGCACGTCGCTCGCAGTCATCTTAAACGGTAATTCGGCATAGTGCATCTGCTATGCGTTTCGGAACCGTGGAGGGTCAATGAATTTTCAGTCCTGAGTTCAAGAATATCACTCAAGTTGGTGTGTGTCTCGCAGGTGAGTTTAGGAATGACATAATCTTTTCATAGTTGAGGAACTAAAGAACGACGCAAAGAAACTTATTGCTACAGCGACACGCGGGGTCGGGAAGAGGGCATTCTATTTTGTAACGTAGTGACACAGAAGTCAATAGGAGCAACGATTAATAAACTCTAGTTGTGATTTACAAAGGCCTCTGTCAAGCACGTACCTTGATATTGTGCTTGTTTACCGTGATGAACTCGTCACGATCGTGTCGGGACATTGTATGGAAGAATCCAAGAGCATGACCTAGCTCGTGCGCAGCGATAGATACCGTTTCACAACCACGTCCCAGCGACAGTTTCTGTTCACCGCCGAGCTTTCCCACGTAAGACCAACATCCATCTTCCGGGAATACCATGATGCGATCTTTGGCTGAAACAATAACCTTTTATGGTGCAATCCAGACTGTTGGAAGGCCGAGTATCGTATCTAGAGCAAGGAAAACACATCTCTATAAATTTCAGTTTTCTCTTACCGAATGGGTTCCGTGTGAAATTGATGCAAGTATCCTGTTCCCATAGCTTCGCTCCTTTTTCAAACGAACTTCTCATCTGCCTGCCTTCAATGATCACATTGTTTGTATTTTGCCCATTTCCAACAAGCGCTACATTTTTACACATACTTGCGAGCTTATGGAAGTAATAATTCACTCCTTCTGACCATAACATATTTGGATATCTATGATCCTTGAACGCTTGGGCACGTTTTGCCGCAAATTTTCATCCGGCAACCTCATCTTCTATATCTTGCACAATCTCCTCGGCTTGCTCCCTTCAACCGCGATAGATAAGGAGGTTAACGAGATAGTACTAGGCGCTGATTAATTGACATACTCTGTTAGCACCATGTCGCTCTGGTAGAGATCCTGTCCAACCTGACTGTATTCGTTGACCTCAGTGATGGAGTCTCCTCTCTGCGACTTTATCCTTCTTATGTCGCCCCGTGCCAATCTCTTGTAAACATCAATCCGTTTGGGATGTAGCACTCTATTGACCTAGTAAGACGCGTTTTATCCACCGAAAGAAACCTCATTCACAAGAATTTTGGAAAAAAAGTTTTTTTTGGCCCCTTTTGCCAAAATTTGGAAGTTCTATGGCCTTCGTCGTAGAGAGGTGGAACTGTCAATGTTACCTTCAACCTTTCCTCGAGCGATTTCATCATTTTTGGTGTTAACTCCAATGTTTTCAACACCTTGTCCTTCATACTTCTGATCTTGTCGCGGATTTTGAACAGTGCTGTGTTGTCGAAAGAGCTGTAATTTTATATACAGGAAACGAGAAAGGGCTGTCAGAAGCTAAACCATATATATATGTCTAGTGAACTCGGAGACGGAATACGAAAAACTGAGAGAAGGATTAGGATGGCCATTGATAGTCGTGGGAGAGAAAAAGGGGGACACTTCCTTGAATCAACGATACGTTTTGCATTTTTTAGTTTCTGTCCAAACTGGCCCTTCACGGAAAATGCTCCTTTCACTTTGTCAATAATGCCTCCATCGACAGCGGCAATCAATAATAAGGTGAGCCATATCAGCCTCATTCTGAACTGTGAAAACTATTTTCTGTAATATTAGCTACAACTCAACCCATAGAACACATCATTGCGAAACGGAAACGGAAGTCAAATGTATAAGATTATGTGGAGATGACACACTGCACTGCTGCTCTCCGAGTTTATATACATCTCCTCCGACTGTGCTTCAGAATAGGACGGCTGACAAAATATGAACTAATGTCATCTGATAGCGGAACTGAATACAGGAACCCTGAACAATCTTGATATGTGTGTCGTTTTTGTTTGAACAAGAACTCATGAGGAACTGACGTGGCGGATGTGTTCCCACTAGCAACGAAGGGATGCTTGCTGAGCGGCACCTATGGATGTCAAATCAAAGATGGAGAAGCTAAACGCAAAACTGCCGTACAAAGTCGCACACAGAATTTGCCAGTACTGATTCCGAATTCCAATATCATCAAAGCATAGGACGACTAAACGGATACAACATAGCTATCGGAAAGGAATAGTTTGGTTACGGTAACACCGTGAACAATGACCAGAAGGACCTACAAGATTACAAAGACACATGTGTACAAAAAACGGTTGTATTTCGACGAAAAAACCGTTAGTTCATCATTTCAGGTCGTAGCCAGCTGCTTAGTCCATTGACTGACAAACTACTATCCTGAAATTTAGATCTAATAATCCCTTGCTCGTCCTGAGCTCTATTGCGTTGGAGCATTGAGGGGATCAGTACTGGCAAATTCTGTGTACGACTTTGTATGGCCGTTTTGCGTTTAGCTTCTCCATCTTTGATTTTTTTTCGTCGAAATACAACCGTTTTTTGTACACATTATGCGTCTTTGTAATCTTGTAGCCGTCCTTTGCCGGTTTCATTTCACGGTGTTACCGTAACCAAACTATTCCTTTCCGATAGCTATGTTGTATCCGTTTAGTCGTCCTATGCTTTGATGATACTGGAATTCGGAATCAGTACTGGCAAATTCTGTGTGCGACTTTGTACGCCGTTTTGCGTTTAGCTTCTCCATCTTTGATTTGACATCATAGGTCCCGCTCACAGCATCCCTTCTTGCTATGGAACACTCCCACGTCATTCCTCCATGAGTTCTTGTTCAAAACAGAAAACGACACACATACAAGATTTTGTTCAGGGTTCCTGTATTCAGTTCCGCTATCAGATGACATTAGTTCATATTTTGTCAGCCGTCCTATTCTGAAGCACAGTCGGAGGAGATATATAAACTCGGAGAGCAGCAGTGCAGTGTGTCATCTCCACATAATCTTATACATTTGACTTCCGTTTCCGTTTCGCAATGATGTGTTCTATGGGTAGAGTTGTAGCTAATATTACAGAAAATAGTTTTCACAGTTCAGAATGAGGCTGATATTGCTCACCTTATTATTGATTGCCGCTGTCGATGGAGGCATTATAGACAAAGTGAAAGGAGCATTTTCCGGTGAAGGCAGTTTTGGACAGAAACTAAAAAATGCAACTATCGTTGGATTCAAGAAGGTTCCCTTTTTCTCTCTACCTATCAATGCTCTGTATCCTATCCTTCTCAGTTTTTCGTATTCCGTCTCCGAGTTCAGTAGACATATATATGGTTTAGCTTCTGACAGCCCTTTCTCGTTTCCTGTATATAAAATTACAGCTCTTCGAAAACACAGCACTGTTCAAAATCCGCGACAAGATCAGAAGTATGAAGGACAAGGTGTTGAAAACATTGGAGTTAACACCAAAAATGATGAAATCGCTCGAGGAAAGGTTGAAGGTAACATTGACAATCCACCTCTCTACGACGAAGGCCATAGAACTTCCAAAATTTTGGCAAAAGCGGCGCAAAACTTTCCGAAAATCTGTGAATGCAGCGTGTCTTTTGGTGGAAAAACCGTCTACTAGGTCAATAAGTGTACAACCCACAAACGGATTGATTTTTACAGAGATTGCGACCCATCAAGAAGGATAAAGTCGCAGAGAAAGGAGACTCCATCACTGAGGTCAACGAATACAGTCAGGTTGGACAGGATCTCTACCAGAGCGACATGGTGCTAACAGAGTATGTCAATTAATCAGCGCCTAGTACTATCTCGTTAACCTCCTTATCTATCGCGGTTGAAGGGAGCAAGCCGAGGAGATTGTGCCAAGATATATGAAGAATGAGCGTCTGCCGAGGTGAAAATCGCGCAAAACGCCAAGCGTTCAAGGATCATAGATATCCAAATATGTTATGGTCAGAAGGAGTGAATTATTACTTCCATAAGCTCGCACAAAGGGTATGTTCAAAAATGGTTAGCGCTTGTTTGGGAATGGGCAAAATACAAACAATGTGATCATTGAAGGCAGGCAGATGAGAAGTTCGTTTGAAAAAGGAGCGAAGCTATGGGAACAGGATACTTGCATCAATTTCACACGGAACCCATTCGGTAAGAGAAAACTGAAATTTATAGAGATGTGTTTTCCTTGCTCTAGATACGATACTCGGCCTTCCAAACAGTTGTCGGATTAGCCCACACATAAAAGGTTATTGTTTCAGCCCAAGCATCGCCATCTATGGTATTCCGGAAGATGGATGTTTGGTCTTCTTTACGTGGGAAAGCTCGGCGGTGAACAGAAACTGTCGCTGGGACGTGGTTGTGAAACGGTATCTATCGCTGCGCACGAGCTAGGTCATGCTCTTGGATTCTTCCATACAATGTCCCGACACGATCGTGACGAGTTCATCACGGTAAACAAGCACAATATCAAGGTACGCGCTTGAAAGAGGCCTTTGTAAATCACAACTAGAGTTATCATCGTTGCTCCTATTGACTTCTGTGTCACTACGTTACAAAATAGAATGCCCTCTTCCCGACCCACTTCTTGCAGCATAAGTTTCGTTTCGTTCTTTAGTTTCCTTCAACTATGAAAAGATTATGTCATTCCTAAACTCACCTGCGAGACACACCAACTTGAGTGACATTCTTGAACTCAGGACTGAAAATTCATTGACCCTCCACGGTCCCGAAACATTACAATGCACTATGCCGAATTACCGTTAAGATGACTGCGAGCGATCGTGCGCGCTTATGCTAGTACCCGCTCTTAAATGCAAGGGCGTGCAACAGAATTTCCACTATATCGAAATGTGCCGGCTGGAGTAGCATGGTGAATTTGCATTTTCCCAAGCTGAAGAAGGTTAGCTTAACGCGTTGTGGGGAAAGCATATTAGTGCAGTAGGATCTGAAGCAAATTTTGAAAACACTGAAAGCTTCATGTGTTCTTAAGCTTCTGTACATTGCCTCAAGAGTTTGACTAATGACAGAAACGATTAGAGGATGAGGAGGCTCACGAATCCGCCTTACCACAACTTTTGGCAATCTACGTGATAGTCTTCAAAAAATAAATCAATCGGTCGTTATTGAAGAGAAATAAAGAATACTCGAAATGTGGAGAGTGGTACTTTCAGGTAGACTGGCTAAGTCAATTCAATAAAGAAACAACGAAAACCAACGACAATTACAACATGACATACGACTACGGCAGCATTATGCACTACGGCGGAACTAGGTAGGTTTGGAAAAAAATGAAACCCAACTTTCGCATGGGTGCTTCAGTGATGCAACTGTTATACCACAATTTTTGAAAACAAGTCAAAATCTCTCGCTCTGGATATCTCATATGCCAATGTTGAGAATGTATAGCTAGATGAAAGACTTCGCTGTTGTTTAGTGCATCGTTCAAACAAAAAAGCCAACAATGGTTCCGTTCGATGTGGATTATCAGCAAACCCTTGGGTCTCCATTCATTTCATTCATCGAACTTTCAATGCTCAATGAACACTATGGATGCAAAGGTTTGACAGCCAGCTTCAAAACACCCTTTCACAGATATCGCGTTCGCAAGAGTATCCTTAAGCGGCGTGGAATTCTCATGAAATTCCATTCAGCTGCCTGTCGCCCGGTTAGCCAAAAAAAAGGCAAGGGCTAGAAATTTTGGCGGTAACTCTTCCCTTTTTGGCATACACCACCCATTCTGCACTTCTTCAAAGTTACAGTGGCATTCAGATGGCTTTTGAGATGTCCTATGTAACGTCGGACAGCAGATGTGCAAATTCTGCTAGCTTCCACATAAGTTTTAGTCTACTACATGCCCAAGTTGTAGAAGGACCCTAATAACAAATTGGTGATCTTCAAAATATGCGGAAACATAGCGCTACACGGAAGTAGTTCCGTAAGCAGCGCCATCATTGCCACCCTACCTCACTATCCTGACACGCTTAGACAAGATGGCTAACACAACTGACAACAAGTTCCGACCTTCATAGACAGTTCCGCTCTTCTTATGGCGCTATCTATTACAAAATTCAGAAAACTGCAACAAAGCCACATCCGTCAAATGCGAGATGGGCGGATTTCCTCACCCACGAGACTGCCAGAAATGCATCTGTCCTGGTGGTTATGCTGGACCCCGATGCACTGAGAGAGTGAGGAGAGAATTAGATATACTCGTCATAAAGGAATTGGTGCCGAAAGCGTTTACTTTAGCCATCAACAGGGTGCGGCGATACAATTAAAGCTTCGCCTAATTGGACGACACTCGAGAATACTGTGGGACTTGGCCGTGACGAGCAAGAAGACTTTG